CTTAGGGGGGGAAACGCTTGTCCCTGCCTGCCTTCCAACTATCCTTCATCAGTTTCACCTGGAAGTGATCTAGATATTTAACAGATTTAACTTAACTCATTTAACCTAACTCAGCAAGACTTTAAGGTTTTAGGTTACCAATAAGATTTGGGAAAACAATTTAAAAGCTTACCTAAAATTTTTTATTTATGTCTATTTAATTTACTTGTTATTAACAGTTATGCTTAGATTACTCAAAAACTTTGTGAGACCTCAAAGTCAGTTGTTCTTCCAAGCCATTTTTCTTTTATATAGTCTGTAACAGAGATAACATTGACTTATGACTTTACGTAAACGCTGGTAGAATAAAAGTTTCAGTTTTATTGCTGATACCTCTAAAGACATGTCTATTTTATTAAACGAACAATCTTAAACAAGCTTTCATATTAAATGTTTTTCCCAGATCACATGAACTTGAAAAAAACATTTGGGTTAGTTTCTTTTTGATAGGTTTAGAATGGTCAGTCCTTACTAGCATTTGTCTTTAACTAAATAGAGCTCTTTTGAAAATTAATTTTAGCAATACCATCCAGAGGTAGAATAATAACTCACATTTATAACATACCCACAAACACATGGATGCAAGGACTTTATCGTTACAAATATTTGGGAAGATTTTTAAGATTTGTACTTGTCCCTGGAATTAATCTTAAGAAAGCTGTGCTAGAGTCTGGGCACAAGAGCCCTTTAGCAGTTTATTTTTTAAGATTTTAAAATTTATTTGTCAGAGAGAGAGAGAGCACAAGCAGGGGGAGTGGCAGGCAGAGGGAGAAGCAGGCTCCATCCCAGGACCCTGGGATCATGACCTAAGCTGAAGGCAGACACTTAACCGACTGAGCCACCCAGGCGTGTCCCTAGCAGTTTATTTTAAAAGACCTCTCTTTCTATGTTTTTTGGTTTTTTTTCCCCCTTCAGTCTCAGGTAATTATGGGCTGTGTTTACATTGCAAAGAAATGATAAGATGTGTAACTTTAAGGGGAAGAGAAAAAAAGTAAGTTCTTCCCAGAAGGACTTTGGTTTTTTAAGGCCAATAATTTACAGGGTGTTTCAGATAAACAAGGGAAGTCTGGGGATCGGTAAAAGAGTAAGTGAATTTTGAATTGCCTATATGCTGATTTTTGTTTTGTAAAATAAGAATGGTGTTTTCAATTCCTCAAAGAATTGGGTTATAACTTAAATGACATGTTCATTCACCTATCCCACTACATTATCTTCAGTTTGTTGCTTTCCCTCTGGATACATAGTTTTGTTGTTTTTTAATTCCAGTATAATTAGCATACAGTGTTATTAGTTTCAGGTGTGCAATATAATGATTCAACAATTCTACACATTGCTTGGTGCTCATGGTGATGAGTGTACTCTTAATCCCTTTCACCTACTTCACCCATCCCCCCCGCATCAGTTTTCTGTATTTAAGAGTGGGTTTTTTTGTCTCTTTTTTTCTTTGTTCTTTTGTTTTGTTTCTTAAATTCCAAATGAATGAAATCAGATAGTATTTGTTTTTCTCTGACCGACTTATTTTACTTAGCATTTATACCCCCTAGATTCATCCATGTTATTGCAAATGTCAAGACTTCATTCTTTTTTATGGCTGAGTAACATTTATTGTGTATGTGTATATATATATATACACATACCATTTCTTTATCAATTCATCTGTCGACACACATGGGTTGCTTCTGTAATTTAACTATTGTAAATAATGCTGCCTGAGTACATAGATTTACTTTTAAATATTTCTGGGAACATTGAGTAACACCCTGTGGGCGTGGGCATCTGACAGATCCCCAAAGAGGGTGCAAAGGATACTATGTTTCACAAACCCAGAGTGACCCCAAAGGAAGGAAGTAACTTACTTGCATCAGGCAGGCAGAAAGCCAAGCCTAGTTACCCAAAGCGAAACAAGGAAAAAGATGGTTGCTATCTCTGGCGAAAGAACAATCACAAGGGGCTTGAATTTGGAAATGAAAGGACAACAGTGAGATTTTATTTTCCTCTCCAGACTGGGCACCACAGACAGAGATTCAGAAGAACTGATTCTGGTAAGAGTTTCCATTCTTCACTAGCTTTTGACACAGTTTATTCAGGATCCTATCCGTAAGCTCTGGAATGCACCGGAGTTTTCCCTTAGCTGTTTAAGGGGATGATGTTGCAGTTTACCAGAAAAGTCCTCAGTTTCTTCACCTCTGGGAGGGGATCTCTATAGGAGCCCTTCTTTTAAGGTAGATAATGGGAGTGTCTGTAAAACCATTAACTTGGCAGACTTTTGCTTACAATTATGTAGTCTTTTCAGAGTGGAAAAACAAATCAGACAGACGATTAGTAGAACGAGTACTCAAAGGAGGATAGAGGTGAACCGTAGGAGTTACATCAATCTAAGAGTCTTTTGTTGTCAGTGTGTCAGGGAGCAAGACTTTCCTGTCCCTTTCAAGGCCCATCTAGGCAGATTGGGAATCAAACTGATATGAGAAATTAATAGGAGAAAATCAAATTTCATTTCATATGTATGGGGAATCCACATGCACATGGAAATTCCAAAGAGAGTCGGGCAAAATGAGGTATGTATATCATTCTGCAGTAAGGAGAAGGGGGTGGGGGTCTGGGACTTCAAAGGAAAGGAATGTAATTCACAGGAAGATGAAAAAGAGTAAATGGTTGGTAAATATGTTTGCTGGACCACTCAGAAAAAAGGAGACCTGGGGGACTTTAATCAGACAGGTCTTGGAAGGTTCCTCCCTGTCGGCCACACCTAGTTCACGTCATGACATAGTCAGAATTATCTATGGCGATAGCTCTCTTGCTGGAGCAGATCCTTTACCTAAATTCTCTTAAGGCAGTTGGGGAGATTAAGAGCTGTTCCTGAATCTGCTGGCTTTTGATTACTTTTTTTTTTTAAGATTTTATTTATTTATTTGAGAGAGCGAGAAAGAGAGAGAGGGAGAGAGAGCACACGAGAGGGGGAAGGTCAGAGGGAGAAGCAGACTCCCCACTGAGCAGGGAGCCTGACGTGGGACTCCAGGATCATGACCTGAGCTGAAGGCAGTCGCTTAACCAACTGAGCCACCCAGGCACCCTTTTGATTACTTTTTTAACTCAAACTAACCTTCATGCCAAAGTGGCCCATCATGAGGCAGCTGGCCTTTTGCCCCTACAGTTCCTTCCTCTGAAACTTCCCTGAAGTTTCACGCATTAAAAGTTGAGTTGGTGGATTTTTTCATCTTGTTGAACTAGTTTCTTTGTCCTGACAATAGGTCAGTTTAGTTAAACTCATTTCAAGAGGCAGTGATGCGGGTGTGTTCTCAAAGTTAGGCCTATGGTTCAAGCAATCAGGTACTAAATAAGAGGCATTTTTATGGAAACAAAAGAAAAACAATGGTTGATAGATCAAATTATAAACCAATTTCTTAGTTTTAAGGGTAGCGAGTTTGCTCCTGGGTGAGTCAGAACTGCGCCAGGTTAAGTCGTCACACAAAGAAAGGTTTATTTGCTGCAAATACGGAGATCACGGGATGGCTTCCAAAGCAGTGACTCTCTGAGCAAAGGTGAATGGATTCTCTTTATTTAGGGTTAAGATGAATACTTATAGAGGGGCGCCTGGGTGGCTCAGTCTTCGGGCGTCTGCCTTCGGCTCAGGTCATGATCCCGTGAGTGGTTCTCGTGCATTGACCTCCTTTGGATCAGCGGGATCAACTGGATCACCTGGGTTAGCTGGAATGACTGAGGAGATAAAGTATCCAAAGTCCTATGGCAAGCTAGTGGCATTCCTGGGGCAATTCCTTAAATGACATGTTAGGTCTTTTGTGTACCAGGCACTGTGCTAGGTGCTAGGGACATAGAGAAGTGTGAGAGGCAGTGCCTACCCAGTTCAGTCTTTGTTCTCCCCTCCTTTCCCCTGTTTCTCATTCGTTCCACTTGGGCGGGGCACGATTTCCTGCTGAGTTCCTTTTGGGGCCTGCTACCTGGGGTGTTGTCAGTGAATGGTCCGGATGCTGTGGGTCTCCTTCCAACTCCAGGCAGTGGGATGTCACATTTTCTCTCTAAAGAGGCAATCCTCTCCATCCTTGCGGAGTCTGGTGGTATTAATCAAGGCTTCTCTCCACATAAAAGATTTGTTGGGGCCAAGGACAGGACACTCCAAAATGTGCCGCTTTGGCATACTGATTATTTTAAATTAAAGTTACTTAAGAAACAGCCAATGCAAAAAGAACACTGACTTTTCTGGGCACCTGGGTGGCTCTGTCTGTTAAGCATCTGCCTTTGGCTCAGGTCATGATCCCGGGGTCCTGGGATCGAGTCCCGCATCAGGCTCCCTGCTCAGCAGAGAGTCTGCTTCTCTCTCTCCCTCTGCCCCTCCTCTCTGCTCGTGTTCTCTCTCTCTCTCTCTTTCTCAAATAAAAATCTTAAGGATTGCCTGAGTGGCTCGGTTGGTTAAGCATCTGCCTTTGGCTCAGGTCATGATCTCAGGGTTCTGGGATCGAGCCCACCTTGGGCTCCCTGCTCAGCAGGGAACCCACTGCTCCCTCTGCCTGCCACTCCCCCTGCTTGTGCTCTCTCTCTCTCTCTCTCACACTCTCGCTGTATCTCAAATAAATAAAATCTTTAAAAAGATCTTAAAAAAACAAGAACACTGACTTCTTATTGTTTATGTAAAAGGTGGTCTATCTATACCAGGAGGTAAAGAGATTCTTATCACCGGACATAGGAAATTTAGAGTCAAAAAGGCTATATAAACAACCCTTGTTACCTTTTATTAATTTACTACCCCAGCCCAAATTCTGTTTAGAATTCCTTACTAATTGAAGCTACCCAAGTTAAGTTTTCTTTGTCTTTTCAATTCCTCACAGATTTATTGCCTCTTTGTCTAAAAAATATAACAACAGCCTGCCTTGGTCATTTCTTTAGGTCTCCGTGTCATTACGGGGCCTCTGTGCGCACGTAATAAAACTTTTTTACCCCCCTCCTGTGAATCTGTCTCATGTCCCCTTAATTCTTAGACCAGCTGGAAATCCTTGAGAAAGCACAGGAGGTTGTTCTTCCCCTGCCATTGGTGTGGCCGGCTGGGTTAACTTCCGCTGGATATTTGCCCCGGAAGATTCTGCAGCTTCAAGATCTTGGGAGATCTGACATACAGCCGGCAGAAGGTAAGATTTCTTACCATGTCGGCCTCCCGGAGTTTCTGTCTGTGAGATCTGGTGGCGTGAGAGTAAGGACAGTCTTTTTCTCTTTCTCTCAAATTAAATTAGCAGGAGAAAATATTTGTGGAACTAGTTCCTTTGGCTTAGCGACTCTTGGTAAAAAATCTGGTAGGGTACTGTTTGGCTAGTGATCTGTTTCCTTCCAGAGATGGTCTTTGATTTCCTTTGTCCGTGTCTTTAGGTAAGGGGATTACCATAAAGCATAGAGTTCGCGGTTCTCATCAGACAATGTCTATGTGGGCATACTTTGCTGTGGGTCCCCGGTGTAAAAACTAGATGAGGTTTTTCCTTTTATCTTGTTCTATGTCCTAAGAGCTTGGCTTTGTGACCAGTGAGAACATTCTCTCTGGTCTCTGCCATCCGGAAGGTGCATTTACTGGGGTGTACTTAGGGGGCCAGTTGAATAGACTGGGGACTGGAGATACCCATTTACAAGCAGCATTCTCTTTGCCCAGTTGTGCCAGCTCTCAGGGGAGTTTGTCTTAAGAGCTCCTAGACTGTAAGGGCCTTGATCGTCTCAACCTTCATTGCTTGTTAGTGCTAGAAAAATCCATTCCAGTAGCACCTGTCAGCTGTCACAGATTGGCAGGTCTGTGTGGAAGCTTCGCACCTTTGTGGGGGCCTGAGACACCCTGATAACACCACATCATTCTTACCACCTGTCCCTGAAGGTCTTTGCTTTCTTAGACTATTTTTGGGAGTAGACTTTTGGGGCTTCACCAGCTATGCCCTCTCTAGGGACATCTCCTGTATCTTTGGCCAAACCATAAAAAGGCTTATTGGTTTGAGTGGCTATTAATTGATATTAAAAACAAGATCCTACTCATCAGTTGGCTAAATTAAGGAATGCCTGGGTGGTTCGGTTGGTTAAGTGTCTGCCTTTGGCTCAAGTCTTAATCCCGGGGTCCTGGGATCGAGTTCTACATTGGGCTCCCTGCCCAGCAGGGAGCCTGCTTCTCCCTCTGCCTCTGCTGCTCCCCTCTGCTTGTGCTCTCTCTCACTCGCTCTCTGACAAATAAATAAAATCTTTTTTTT